AAAAAAAAAAAAAAAAAAACAGAACGCGCTTTTAAGTAAGAAAAAAGAACGGAAACAAAAATTACAAAATCGAGGATATGAATCGGATCGCATGCACAACTTACCGGAAACTCCTCTTTTCGAAAGAGGGAAGAATTTTTCTTTCCATCTTCATCTGAAGAGAAGAGAAATACGTTTATAACAATTATACGACAGGACGTTGAGAACGAACGGATCGGGACGAACTGGCCGATCTTCCCGATTCCGAATACTGACTCAGTTCGAGAATTTCAGACGGATGTCCGGGGAACGCAGCCTCTCGCCGAGCGCGAAACCTCGAATGGAACGCGGGAGCGGCGTGAGCGTCGTCGACGTCGGCGTCGGCGCCGACAGACAAGGCGCCGTCAACCTTCGTGGCGGCGCGACGTTCATGAAAAGTGTCTCGATCTTCTTGATGAGCGGTCGTAAAGCATCGGTGAACAGCAACAGGCAGACGAGCAGCTCAGCCAGCCCAAAGCACGAGCCCAGGAGGAGGCATCGTAGGAGAATGCCGGTGCCCGCCACGGCAAGAACCTCCGGGTACACGGTCAAGCTGATCGAGTCGTTGAAGAGGAAAACTAGATTCTCGTGGCGAGTGGAAATCGATTTCTCATTGTTTCGTGCTTATGGTTTATCGTGCGGGCAATCGACCGATCTTTCCACGCGAAAGAAATTTTCTTTTTCGAATATTTCTTTTTTTCCTTTTTTTTTTTCTAAAAGAAGAAGAAGATGCGCGGTGTAGAATTTTTCCGAAGATCGAAGAAATAGATGTAAAGAATAATAAATAATTCGTGATTCGATGATTTCCTTTCAAGATGATTTTCTTTTTTTTTTTTATATAATATAATAAATTTTCGCACGTATTTTAATATTCTTTTTTGTTATAGGTCCGAATTGGATAATCTGTGCAAACTGTACAAAAAGTTAATCAATCCAGGGCAGCAACAAGTAGGGCAATCGGTTATTATCGGGAGGAGGTCTCAACCGAATCAAATTACAGAGGTAGCGACATTAGAATTGTAGGGATTAACTGTTGCCTGCGTAAGTCTGTCATTTTCTTTTAAATTGTCGTGCAATTCCTATTGAGATTTTCCTCGTGCTTTCGTTTCAATCTGTATATAATTACGATAAGATGAGATAAGAGAAATATTTTTGAGTCTGATACTTACTCGATTACGAAAGAAATAAATGTTTGTCAGGGTATCGACAGAACCATCTTCCGCGAGTTATTGCACAACACGTTCAAAGTGATCACGGAGGACACGTTGGTGGAGCGTATATTCTGTTGCTGGGATCGTGAGAACGAGGGAATAATTAGATTGGAACCATGGATCATGGGTCTGGATCTGTATCTTCGAGGCAGCCTACGGGAGAAAATTGAATTTTGTTTCAAAGTGTACGACTTGAACAATGATGGATTCATTACGAAGGATGAAATATTTCAATTGTTCAAGTAAGATGTAAATAAGATTTTCTTTTTTTTTTTTTAGTATTTAAAATTCACTTACTTTTCGAACGAAGTGAATAATAATTAACGAGTATTTGTATGCGGGTAGGAATTGTTTGATAAAGCAACCGGGAGAAGAGGATCCTGACGAGGCGGTGAAAGATTTGTCCGAGCTGGCGTTGAAGAAACTAGACGTGGATCGGGATGGGAAAATATCATTTCAGGATTATAAATTGGGTGTAACGGAGGAGCCATTGCTGTTGGAAGCTTTTGGCCAGTGTCTATCCACGGAGGAGAATTGTGCTTCTATCCTTGCCACGTTAAAGTCGTGAAGTGAATATGGATCCGGGGAAGGATGTTTCGCTGGAAAAAGATAATAGAGGTTAATTAATTGTAGCCAAGATATTAAAATGCACTCAAAGGATTTGTAATCATGGCACCTGCCGTTTATTAAAAACAAATTCGATAGTAATCGTAATTACAAACAATAATAATATTAATAATAATAATATAATAATAATATAATATAATATAATATAATATAATATAATATAATATAATATAATAATAATAGCATAATTACAAAATACGCTCGATCTGGTTTTCTTATAGCGTGTTTGCTGAATCAGTCTTAACCCTCGGATTACCAAGCATCGATTTCAATCACTCTTCGAT